GGGCGCGGACCGAGGCCGGGGTCTGCGGGCTCCTCCCCCCCCGGGCCTCTCGGATGCGCCGCGGGGGCCCCATCGGTGCGGGGCGCAGGGTCTCTCCGGGTCCCGCCCCGTCTCCGCGCGTCTCTGCGCCCCTCCCCGGGGCCCGCCGCTCGCCGGCGCGCGTTTCCATGGCGAGCTCCCGGGGCGCCCGAGCCATCGGGAGACAAAGGAAAGTGGAGGGGGGGGCGCGCGCGCTCGCTCCGCGTCCCCGCGCCCCGCCCACCCTCTCCCCCTGCGCCCGCGGGGTCCACACTCTGCTCGGCCGGTCCAAGCCCCTCGCCAGGCCCACCCCGGCCAGGGCGCACGGCCCCGGATGACCGGGATGCGGGGGCGGTGGGTCGGGCCCTCACCGAGAATTTACGTGATGCGCACTTAGGCAGCGCTTGCTGTTTGCTCCTCGCCACACACGGCCCTGCGGGGCTGGGGCTGGCTGACCTCCTATTTTGCAAATGGGGAGACTGAGGCCCGGGGAACTGAAATTCCCGTCCAAGGTCACCAGGCCCCAGATTTATTTGGTTCATTTGTTCGGGATCTCCTGGGCACCTGCTCTCCACCTGGCCCGCAGCCGTCCCTGGGGAGCCGCTGGGAACGGGGGCAGACCCGACAATCCATCCCGCAGTTAAGTGTCTAATTGGAGCTGGGGTTGAGGGAGGGCTGCATTAAGTGAGCGCCTGCTGTTTGCCGCCGCTGGTCTTTGTTCCTGTTCAGCCGTTCACAGGCAGTCTCCTTCCCGGCTGTGGCCCTTCTGCTTTTAAAAGAGACGCAGCTCCTGTGTTTTCCAAGAAGATTGTGTGTGTGGTTAAGGGTGGGTTCCAGGGGGTTCGAATCCTGCAGGGCCTCAGTGTCCTCACCTGTAAATGGTCACTAGACCTCTCCCCAGGCCTGGCGGCGGACCGGCCTCAGTTTCCCCAGCCCGCCAGGGTGGAGCCTGTGCAGCGGCCGGTTGGGAATCCTGGTGTCGAAAGGCGACCACAAACAGCCCTCGGGAGGTGGGGGAGGAGACGAAAGTGGGGCAATCAGGTGCCCCCGGGGGGCAGGAGCAGGAAGGGGTGTCCTGGGGGACCCTCCTGACAGCTGGGGCGTCTGGAAGAGGGTGTGGGGGGACCTGAGGGGGGGGTCCTGCTTCCTGTGGGATCTGGTGGTGGGGAAGGGCAGGCAGGCCCGGCCGTGGTGACATGCACCTGAGCTGGGGCACCAGGGAGCCACGGGGAGTTCAGAGCAGGCGGGAGGGGGCTGCTGAAAACCTCTTACACGTGTTAACACGCTCGCTCCCCACAGCTTTGGGGGGGTGTTCAGGTCCTCTTTCTACACTTGGGGAAACTGAGGCCCAGAGACGGGCCCCGGAGGTCACCCAGCTGGGAAGGGACGGCCCTGTGGGCTCCGGGTCTGTCCTGTCTCCCGCTGTGCCCTGGGGAAGCAGGCTGGGGGGACACTGCCGAGCGGCGGGACCGGGAGGCTCGGCAGGGACAAGGCCTGAGCCCCGGGACCCCGACAGTTGGGCTGGGCAGAGTCTCCCAAAGTCCACCCTGACCCTGCACCCCAAACCCTCCCCAGATCTCCCCTTGGGAGGGAAAGCCGCCCTGGAAGAGCCCCCACGAACTGGTGTCTCTGAGGCTCGGGGCCACCACCAGCCCAACCTCTCGGTTTCTCCTTGGAAATAAGCCCCTTTTTAAAATTGAGGTGAAATTCACATAACATAAAATTAGCCATCTTAAAGTGTACCATTCAGTGATTTTTAGTGCATTCACAGAATTATGCAACCATCACCTCTGTCTAGTTCCAGAACATTCCATCACCCCAATAAGATACCCCGTCCCCATTAGCAGTCACCCTCATCCCCTCCCCAGCCCCTGACACCCATGAACCCACTTTCTGTCTGTGGATGTCCCTGTTCTGGACATTTCACATCAATGGGATCACACACCGTGCATCCTTCTGTGTCTGGTTCTCTCACTGAGCATCGTGTGTTCAGGGTCCATCCACGGTGTGGCTGTGTCAGGGCCTCACTCCTCTTCATGGCTGCGTCATACTCCAGTGTGTGGGTGGACATGCTCGTCCGTGGATGTGTGTCCACATTCTGGCTCCCGTGGGTCGGTACCCTGTGGACTTGCGTGTACAAGTGTCCATTTGCGTCCCTACTGAGAAATGTGATGACTCGGTGACCGACTGTTTGAGGAGCCGCTGGCCTGTCGTCCACCCCCCAGCAGCGCCCAAGCCCTCTGATTTCTCCACATCCTCCAGGACGCTCATCATTTTCTGCATTTTCCGTTCTCTCCGTCCCCGTGGGTGTTTGGTGGCACCCCCCTGTGGCTTTGATTGGTGTTTCCCTAATGACCGATAATCGTGAGCATCTGTTCGTGGCTTGTTGGCCACTCGTGTATCCTCTTCCAAGAAGCGTCTGTTTGAGTTCTGCGCCCGTTTTTTATTGGGTTGTTGGTCGTTTTGTTGTTAATTTGTGAGAGTTCTTTACATGTTCTAGACACCCAATCTCGTTTTGCTCTCCCCTTGGCCCCAGCTCTCCCCCGGGTCCTGGGTACCTCAAACCTCTGAAGACCCTGCAGACCCCCAGGGTGTGTGGCGGGGCCCCCGGCGCTCAGGCTGGGGAAACCGAGGCCCAAGCTGGCGTTGTGAGCAGCCTTCACAATTCTGCTAATGTGTCAGGCGTCCACTGCGTCCCGGCCGTGTGCTGGGTCTGGCCGACACTTCATTCACATCACCATCCCACGCACCTGGAGGTGTGGCCCATTTCCCAGAGGGGAAACTGAGTCACGGAGCGGGGCAGAGGAGGAGTCCAGCCAGGCCCCGGGAACAGTTGGCGGTGGAGGTCTTTGGCAACTTCCCGTTTTCCCGCCGGGAGGGGCTGCCCCGGGCTCCGTGGGGGTTGCTGCCAACGGCCGGGGCCCCGGGTATAAAGGCGGCCGCCCTCCCCAACCACCCCAGCCTCCCCGGTCATGTCGGCGCTCAGATTTCTGGCCCTCCTGGCTGTCCTGCTGGCGACCGCCAGGGCAGGTGAGTGCCCCGCACGCCAGTGTCCCGTCTGTGCTGGGGGCCCCTGCAGGGGGAGGGGCCAGGGTGGGGGGACCAGGGGGTCTCAAGGCTCAGAGAGGGAAAGCGACTTGACCCAGGCCACACAGCCAGACGGGCCCTGAGCAGCCCTGGACGGGATGTGCGGGGGGCTCGGGGCCACCTGTCCTCTGAGGGAACAGGGAGGGGGCGGCGGGGGTCCCCCCGGGATGGGACCGAGACTGCAGGGAGCCGCACCTGCCCCCCACCCCCGCCCCGCCAGGCTCGGCCGCCCGCGCGGACATCGTGGGCGGCAGGAAGGCCCGGAGGCAGCAGTTCCCGTTCCTCGTCTCCCTCCAGAACCAGGGGCGCCACGTCTGCGGGGGCGCCCTGGTCCACCCACTCTTCGTGCTCACAGTCGCCAGCTGCTTCCAAAGCCGGTGAGGGGGGGCTCAGGGAGGGGCTCGGAGCGGGAAATGGGGGACCCCAGACAGGGGAAGGGTCTCTGTCTCCCGCTCTGGACACAGAAGGGAGACGCGGCTGTGGAAGGAAGGAGGCGCCCCCCGCCCCGGGCTGGGCTCCCCGTGGCCCCTGGGCTGCGGCCAGCGGGCGGGTGACTCCCGCCTTATATGCAAGCCTGCCCCCTGCCTCAGCACCCGGGGCCCAGGACAGAAGTGAAAGGTTGGGGGCTTCCCCACAAGCCCCCCAGGGCTGCCCCAGCCTGGTGTCTCTCCCTCCGCCCCCGCCTGCTCCCAGGAACCCCGGGATTGTCACCGTGGTGCTGGGGGCCTACGACCTGAGGAGGCAGGAGAGCTCCAGGCAGAGGTTTTCCGTGAGGAGCATCAGCGAGAACGGCTATGACCCCCAGGAGAATCTGAATGACCTGCTGCTGCTGCAGGTGCGGGGGCGGAGGGGACGAGGGGGGCAGGCGGAGACGAGGGGGCACGGGAGCTGACGGTCTGAGGGGCTAAGGGACAGAGGAGCCACACGCATGGAGCCCGGCGGCTTAAATCACACAGCGAAGCGCACAGACAAACCACAGTCCGCTCACCCGGCCTCCCGTCGGTGGGCACTTAGGTTGTTTCCAGACGTTTCTGACATGACAGAACCACAGTGGACTTCTTTGTACACGTTTCCTTGCAAAGATTCCCCAGGGCGGCCAGAATAGCCAGGCCTCCCCGCCCGCAGAATTCAAAACTGCCCGTCTGTCCACATCTTTGCTGGCACCGAGGATTACGATGTTTTAAATTTTCTGCCGTTGCGATGGGGGTACCTGGCGGTTTTAACTGCGTTTCCCGGGAAAGCCCTTCTGTTCAGGGTCTTGTTTCTTCCTCCCGACCGCCTTCGTGGTGAGAATTACTGATTATTCATTTCCCGCGGTGGAAGGACCAGAGGCCCAGAGAGGTACAGCCACTTGGCCAGGATCCCACAGCCGGTTACCGCCCAAGCTGGGGTTCGAACCCAAACCACTTTACAGCCCAAAATGCACATGGCTGCCGCTCCGGTCCCCAGTTCCTCCCTCTCCTGACTCGGTTTCCCTCCCCAGCTGGACCGCGAGGCCAATCTCACCAGCGACGTGGCGCTGGTACCGCTGCCCCCACAGAACGCCACGGTGGAACCCGGCACCAGCTGCCAGGTGGCAGGCTGGGGGTCCCGACGGCGCGGGGGGCGTCTCTCCCGCTTCCCAAGGGTCGTCAACGTCACCGTGACGCCCCCGGACCGGTGTCGCCCCAACAACATTTGCACCCGCGTCTTCACCCGCCGGGGCGGCGTCTGCGAGGTACGGGCTGGGGGCGACCCAGCGTGGGCTCCCCGTGGCGGGAGGAGGCGAGTCCAGGACGAGGACCCCGCGACTGATCGTGGAGTTAGAATTGGGTGTTCCCATCATTGGTGCATTTTAACAGCGTGAGAAACAGTCAGTATTTATTGAGCACCTGCTGTGTGCCAGGTCCTGTGGGGGGTGGGGCTGGAGACACAGCGGGGACTAGACGGAGCAGGCCCGCCCTTTTGGAGCTCCCAGACCCCGTGGTGGGAGTGTCAGACATGGATCGAGCCAGGGGCATGCTCAGGACACTGCAAATGCTGGGGGGCCACCTGGCCAGCCTGGGGGGTCAGGAAGTTCCTGGGGGCATCTGGGACCCCGACCTCAGGTAGGAGTGAACCAGGCAAAGGTGGGCGGAAAAGCATGCAGAAAGAGGGAACAGCACATGCAAAGGGCCTGGGGTTGGAACAGATTTGTAGGTTGCAGGAGAAGAAGAAAGGGTCACCTTGTCAGAACTCAGGGGTCCTGGGGGGGAGTGGGGACCAGGGTGCCCTGACCCGCCTGCCGCCCGTCCAGGGTGACAGGGGCACCCCCCTTGTCTGTAACGGCCTGGCACATGGCGTGGCCTCCTTCACCCTGGGGCCCTGCGGCCGGGGCCCCGACTTCTTCACCCGCGTGGCGCTCTTCCGGGACTGGATCGATTCTGTTCTGAACACCCCATCACAGGAGCACTGGCCTGAGGGGCCCCCCACCGAGCCCATGGGGGGCCTGTGACCTCCCACGCTCCGTGTCCTGTGGCTCTTCGTGCGCCCCTGTCCCCCTGGGCCTGAACCCCACCCCACCCCGGCCCTCGTGGTCATGACTCTAATAAAGAAGCCATTCCCGTTCTCCTCGCGCCCGACTTCTGCTTTATGTGGCCGCGGCGGGGTGGGAGTCAGTAAACATCAACGGCGTTGGTGTCCTCCACCCGGGTGGCCTCCGCTCGCTGAATCCGCTGAGAACGGGGGCTGTTGTCACCTCCGCCTGGCAGAGGGGTGGCGAGGCTCAGAGAGGTCAGGTGACTCCCCTGAGGTCACACAGCCCAGGTGGCTTTGGACCCGAGTCTGAGATTCCAGGCGCCCTTCACTGCCTCGTATCGCACAGCAAAGTCACAGACACGGGAGGAACTGGTGGAGGACGATTCGCCACTTGAGCCACAGGAGGTCAACGTGCATAATAAAGAGCTAACATATAAACATTAAATAACAAAATATAATCATATAAAAATAATATATCAAATGTAATAAATACAATTATATATCCTATATTCTAGTTTATTGAGCTAAATAAAACTTGTATTAAAATAAAAATTTAAATAATGTATATTATTGTATATTACTATGTTACATATTATATATTTTCATATACACTTAAAAATATATAAAGTATACTTTCAATAAGTCTAATATATAAAAAGCATCTAAAATAAATAAGAAAACAACAACAGCCCAGTAGTAAAAACATGGGTGAGGACGTAAACAGACAGACGGTCCGCAGCAACGGGCTCTTGAAGACAGGGAAACGCCCGGCCCTCACTGGTTACATGAGAAATTCGTGCAAACCCCCTCGGAGACACAGTTTTTTCAGCCGTGGGAGGAGGCTCCTGGGCGGGCAGCTGGGACGCCCCTCGGCAGGGGTGCATGTAGGGGCATCTGAGCCGGAGGTACCACCCCTGGGGGGTCACCCCACCTGTCACCTTGCAGACGGCGAGGGTACGGGGTGGTTCCTGCCACGTGGCTGTGAGGCTCAGAGACTGCAGACGAGCCGGTGTCCCCAGGAGGGGCCCATAAAGGCACACACTCTGGTTCACCCACCAGGGGAATATTACGCAGCCGTGCAAAAGGTCCTGGCACCTGGGTTCGATGCCCTGAGAAGACCTCATGGGGGTGGAACAGTGTTTGCATATGGGGTGGACACATTCTCGTCGGCGGTTGGAGCTTCGGGGGGCCCCAGAAAGTCGGTTTCCTTGGGGGTGGGCGGGCCCCGCCTCGACTTCTCACACGTGCCTTAGGCGGTTGAACCGTGTGGGGGTGGACGTTAAATTGGAAGATGAGTCATAAGTTTGGGAAGACCAACACGCCCCTCTGTGCCTGCAGGGAGCCCGGATCTCTGTGTTTCGCTGAGTTTTAGGCGACAGTTAGCTCTGATCTGAAGTTGCTGGAGGCGTCTCCTCGGTGGCAGAAGGGGCCACGGGCCGCCTGGTGTCTGAGCTGTGCTGTCCATGCCATTCACGCCAGGGACCTCGAGCCCCAGGGCCATAAAAGGGAGGTCGCCCGGCTCTTCCCCTCTATCTGTGGGGTCTGTGGGGCCTGCAGCCCCCCGTCCTGAACCCAGGGGCCACCCCACACCCCCAGACTAACCGGCCTCCGGGGTTAGTTGAGTTGCCATCCGCCCACCTTACAGATGGGGACACTGAGGCCCCGAGAGAGTGTCTGTGGCTCAGGAACCCGACTGGTCCAGGGGCCACATGGAACTTAGAGGGTCGAGTCACTGCCTGCTCCTGGTTCAGACGGGGAAACTGAGGCCCGACGGGGGTCCCAGAGCACGTGGTCCCCCAGCTCAGAGCCTCCCACACTGACAAGGAGTCCTTTTCTTTCTTGAGGAGAGGAGGGGGAAAAGAGAGACAGAGACACAGAGAGAGAGAGACAAAGAGACAGAGACAGAGACAGGGAGACAGACCCCGCAGGCTGGGCCTCCTGCTCTTTCCCACGATGCTCAGCGGTCCTGCCCGGCCCCCACGGGCCCAGGATCCAGCCCCGCGGCCGTTGTGGTTGCACCACCCACAGTTGGAGCAGGCAGGGGCCGAGGCCGCAGCCTGCAGCCCCCACTTCCCCTCCACCGGCCAGCCTGACCCCCAAGGCCCCAGAGGGTCCCTCCCAGGCACAGCCCCCAGGGCCCCCACTGCCCCAGCTCCACCGACCAACCGCCTCGAGCCACCGCCTCCAGGCAGCACCCCCTGCTCTCGCCTGCCCCCTCCAGGCCTCAGGGTGATGCTCACCTGGAGCAGAGCGCTCGGAGAGGGGGACCCCTGGCCGTCCCCTGCCGGTGACTGACCCCATGACCCTCAGGGACACTCCCTGGGGTGAGAGTCCCGGCCGGGACAGGCCCGTTATCTGGTTGGGTTTGCGGAGCGTGTTTCTTTTTTTGGTTAAAACTCTGTGGAAACACACTTCACATCCCCCCGCACAACTCACCCGCTTAACAATTCAGTGTCATTTAGTGCATTGACATAGGTGTAACCATCACCACTAATTCCAGAACATTCTATCACCCCAAAAGAACCCTGTCCCCATCAGCTGTCACCCCCAGCCCCTGACAACTATTATCACCCCACTTCACAGGCGGGGAAACCGAGGCACAGGGGCGGAGCACCTTGCCCCGGCTTGAACCAACAGGTCCGGGACACGGCAAGGATGCTCTTGGCGAATGAGGAAGCCAGGATTGAGGCCGCACGCGCAGCCCCCCGCAGTCTCCGTGGACGCGCCTCGGAGGTGGACATGGGCTCTGCCCATGTGGCCGGGCTGGCGTCTGAGTCTTAGAGACGCGTCCGCAGAGAAGGGGCGCCCGTCCCGAGGGCGGATTCCACGTCCCTGCAGAGGAAGGAGGAGGGGAAGTCAGGGAGATGCCCGTTTCTGTCCCAGAGGGTCCCCCACGGGACGCCCGTCAATTCTGGGGAAAACCGTGACTTTGCAGTGAGGACCCGCAGACGCCCCCCACCCAGGGGTTAACGGACCCTGGGGGCCCCGGAGACCAGGCACCGGGGAGGACACAGAACCGTGTCGGCATAAGGGCAACAGTATGTCCACGTGGACGGACCCCGGCCACCCAACGTCCCGAGAGACGGGGAAGGAGTGGGGACCGCCCCAGGGCACGGGGGACGCCTTGGGGGTCCCGGGCCTGGAGAAACCCAGGAGGTGTGCAGAGGAGGCGGTCTCTCCGGCTGCCGGCCTGGCCCTGTGGGGGTGACGGACATTTGGGGGCACATCTGGGGTTCCCGCGTGAAAAGGTTTCAAAATGAAAAGTTAAAAAGCATTTTTGTTTTTGTCCCCAAGTTCGGTGAGCTTTTCCCTCTGTTTCTGTAGGTTTAAACTTTCCTAATAATGAGTCAGTTATAAATAAATACAGAAAAAATAAATGTCTCCTCTGCACCTGGAGCCCCGCCCTGGGCCCTGTGACACCGGGGCCAGGTCACTCTCTGGGGGGCCGTCCTGGGCGCTGTGGGGGGTCAAGCAGCATCCTGGCCCCCACACTCGATGCCAGGAGCACCCCCAGTGTGACAGCCGCAGATGTCCTCAGACGTCACCCAGTGTCCCCTGGGGCATGACCGCCCGGGTGGGACAAGTTAACCCTGAGACAGAATTGGGGCAGTGAGATGTGTCTGAGGGTCTCAGCTGGGGACGCCCGGCCCTGTGGCCCCACAGCCTCTCCCGTTCTCTCTCCCGTCCCTGCTGAGTGGGGCTCCCCCAGCGCCGGACACGCAGCCACGTCCCGCTGTGTGGACCCTGTGGGGGGGCGGTGGGGGGCTGTGCGACACACCCCCTCATCCAGGGGACCCCCGGGCTTCCCACACCTTGTGGGGGCCCGGGCCTCCGAGCCCAAGGCCCCCATATCACCCCCGGAGGCGGTTCCGACCCCCAGCGCCCCAGCCCCGAGGTTGGGAGGAGGAAGTGGGGACGCCCGGCGGGCGTGGGGCAACGCCAACGGCCTCCCAGGCCGGGTATAAGAGGGGCGGGCGGGCAGGGGACGCGGAGCCCCAGCGACCATGACCCGTGGCTGCCGATCTTCCAGCCCCACCCTCGCCCCCGTCCTGCTGGCCGTGCTGCTGGGCGGTGAGTGGGGCCGTGCATCCGTCCGTCCGTCTGTCTGGGTCCATGTGATTCCTGGGGCTGTCCGCCCACGCTGCCCAGTCCACACCCTCACGGTGCAGACAGGGAGACTGAGGCAGGACCAGGGCGGAGTCCATTCCCTGCTCGGGGAGAATGCCTCAGGGGAGGGGACGATGAGAGAAAAGGGGTCCCAGGTCGTTTGACTCAGTTTCCCCATCTGTGAAATGGGCCAAACCCAGTCCTTCCCCCCCGGGGCTGCGTCGTGGGGATTAAATATAACCAGCGAATTCCTGGATGGCACATGGCATACAGCGAGCGCTCAATAAGTGCGCATGACTGACTGAATGAATGAGTGAATGAAGAACAGGAGTGAGAGATCCGGGAGGCCCCGGCCCGGCTGGGGGTCACCCAGGGGCTCTGCCCTCCCTCCCCCCCGCCGGGGGGCTCCCACGCCGCTGATGCCCGGTGTCCCCAGGTGCGGCCCGGGCGGCGGAGATCGTGGGCGGGCGGGAAGCGGAGCCCCACTCGCGGCCCTACATGGCGTCCCTGCAGCTGCGGTGGCTCCCCGGCCGCCACTTCTGCGGGGGGACCCTGATCCACCCGAGCTTCGTGCTGACGGCCGCCCACTGCCTGGAGAACATGTGAGCACGGCCCCGGGGCCGGGGGAGACACGGCCGTCGGGTCTCCAGGGGCAGCGGTGGGGGGTCACCGAGGGGCTGCACCCCAGAGCCCCAGGATGCCCAGGGGGGCGGGGGGAACGGGGGGACATGGGGACCGGTGGTCAGCACCGCGACCCCTCAGGAACCCCGTCCTGGTGAGCGTGGTGCTCGGGGCCCACAACCTGCAGACCGAGGAGCCCACGCAGCAGAAGTTCAGCATCGCCCGCCTGTTCGAGAACAACTACGACCAGGAGCAGATTCTCAATGACGTGCTGCTCCTGCAGGTGGGCGCCGGGCCCGGCTCGTTCGTTCTCCGGCGAGCACTTATTGAGCGCCTACTGTATACCAGGCCCCGGGCGGGTGCCGGGACACCGCCTGGTATACAGTTGGCTTGGTGAGGGGAGAGCCGTTCAAACCACCCCTGACCCCGGCCTCTGCCCTGGGGGTGCCCCCGCCCCGACAACCTCACCCCAGCCTCACCCTCTCGGGAGGCCTCCGCTCGCCCTGCTTGGAACGACAGCTCCGGGGACCTCCCACCCGAAAGGGCGGCTCCCGAGGGCAGAGGTGGGGTCCCCAGGGCTTAGCCCAGGAACCGAGCCCTGGCTCGGTTTGGAGGGTCAATCGGGGCAGGCTTCCCGGAGGAGGTGACCCTGAGGATGAGCGGGAGGGGGCCGGGCAGAGGGAACAAAACAGGCAGAGGCCTGGAAGAGGCACTGTAGCGTGGACGCGGGAGGGGGTGGCTGTGGGGCCCGGGGACGGGGTCTCACCTCCCCGCGCCACTCGTCTGCTCCAGCTGGACCGCCCGGCCACCCTCAATGCCCAGGTAGCGGTAGCCCCTCTGCCCAAGCAGAACCAGGAGCTGCCCCAGGGCACCCAGTGCCTGGCCATGGGCTGGGGCCGCCTGGGCACGCAGGAGCCACCGCCCAGTGTCCTGCAGGAGATCAATGTCACCGTGGTCACCTTCCTGTGCCGGACACAGAACGTGTGCACGCTGGTGCCGCGGCGCCGGGCCGGCATCTGCTTTGTGAGTGCCCCCCGTGTCCCCCACCCCGAGCCCTGCCCGGCCCCAGCAACCCGGCCAGCGGCCGGACCCCGGGACGGACTGCCCGACCCCGAGCGGGGCGGGGCCCGGGCAGCGCAGCCTCCCACCCCGTGTGTCGGGCTCCGCAGGGCGACTCTGGCGGGCCGCTGGTCTGCGACGGGCTGGTCCAGGGCATCGACTCCTTCATCCGCGGAGGCTGCGGCTCTGGCTTCTACCCCGACGCCTTCGCCCCCGTCGCGCAGTTTGCCAGCTGGATCAACTCCATCCTCCGCCGCCACGGGGACCCTCCGAGCGGGGCCCGCTAGGAAGGGCGGCCCGGGTGCCCCCACCTCGCCTGCCCCCGCCAGGCCCTTCCCACGCCGCGTCCCCGGGCACCTCGCCCAATAAAAACCCTCTCCCTTTTGTAGAACGTGTCTGGCTGTGTGTCGGTTGTGCGAGCGGGTGTGGAAAGTCGTCAGGGCACCTCTGGGGTACGCTGCCACCAGGTGGCGGCAAATGTGGGGCATTGACGTGAGAAGTCCCTTCCCCACCTCCTTCCACGAAAGGATCCGGGTTACCATTTCTGGTTTCCCCCCCATAAAACCCACTTTCATGGGATCACACGAGTGTCGCCGACGGTGATGACAAAGCACTGTGGCGGTGTTCGTCGAGTGCTCACGAGGTACGGGAATGTTCTGAGTCTTGGGGGGACATCACTCCTCCAGCCCTCGAGGGGGGTCCTCTTGGAGCCCCCGCCTCACAGACGAGGGAGTGGGGGCGCAGAGAGGTGTGAAGCCGGGCCCGGGAGCCTGAGTTTGACGCCCAGCTCTGTGACTTTGGGCAACTCGCTCACTGTCTCTGAGCCTCGGTTTCACCGCCGTCTGGAAAGGGCACAGCCTGGGGTGGGGTCCTGGTGGCCTCGGCTGCACTGGGTGACGGGGACGAGCCACCCCCCACCCTGGCCTTTTGCTCTGATGAGGGAAGAGGGGCAGAGCACGTTTCCCGAGGGAACCCCACCCCGATGGAACCAGCCCTGGGGGGCCTGTGCCCCTCTTCTGCCTCCCTGGGCCGGGGCCACGGGCGGGACCATCTCCATCGTGCAGCTCGAAGGCTGATGGTGGCGGGGCCACCAAAGCAGAGACAAAAAAACGAGAGAAGTGACTTCAGATAACGCCCCCACGTACCGCGAGTTTGGGGTGAATCTCCCCCTCCGTCCCTGCCCCGACCCCTCCCGCTGGAGCTCGCGGCCCGGGGCCCACCCGGGGTCTTTGCCTCATTCTGCCCCTGTCCCCGCGGGCCGTCCGCCGACCCCCCTCTCCCGGGGCCAGCAGCTCAGAGCGGCCTCCGCTGCCCCGAGATGGCCTCCCCCACAGACCTTGGTGCCTGGCGGTCTCTCCACGTCAGCGGCATCTGGGGACACTCAGGGTTGTTTAGTGAACCGGCCGGTCTCGCTGGGTGGCCTCCAGGTTTTGTTGTAATTTCATAATTGTCCCCTCTTACATAACCCGGACTCCGCATCCCCACGGGTGTTTGTTCAGTTTCTGATTTTAACGAGGAAACGTGTTAGTTAGGAAATCATGTTTGCTGTGTTATTTTCTATTTTCCTCTGCGTGTATGAGATCGTCCGCCTGGAAGGGAAAAGAAATAGAGGGGAAAGTATCGCGCATGGTTCCCACCGGGGACGTGGTGGTCCCCCTACCCTGCTGGTCCCAGTACCTTCCCCTGTAGGTTCCTGAGGGGTTGAGCCAGCATCCCCCGCTTACTGAGGGCTGTGTGACCCGGGGTCCACTCATGAGAACCCGCCATCCCCTGCCCCCAGTGCCTGGTTTGGGAGGGGGTGTGCGGTCCAAGCTCGGCCAACTAGAGGTGGCCTTGAGACACTGGCTGGAGTGATGGGGAATTTGAGGAGGCCCACAGAGCTGCTAGGCTGAGTCTGGGGCCCCGGGGGACAGAGTAGGGGAGACTGGTGAGGAGAAAAGCCATCAAGGAGGAAAGGAGAAACCAGAGGCAGAGACCTGACATTTTTTAGGCGCCTGGATCAAGCCATACCTGAAGGTGGACCCTGAACTTTCCATTTGAATTTCCTCATCTTTCCCGCTGCCCCTCTACACGACAACTTTCCAATACTGTTGTTGGGGTGTCAGGCCCCAGAGCCACAGCCACGGGGACAAGGGTGTCAGGCGACCTTTCTCCCACCCCCACCCGACCTCCTGTCCAAGTTGGAGGAGGAAGAAAACAATGGGAGGAGCGAATGCATGAGGAAATGGTTGTTTATAAACTATGGTCTCTAGCTGCTGTTGCGAAACCTCAGGGCCCCCTGGGGCGCAGGGGCTGGGGGCTGGGGTGGGTCCGGCTCTGCCCCCTGCCCATCCTGAGGGTCTGCTCCCCACTCTGGGGCCAGCCCTGGGCCGGGTGCGCAGAGGCGGCAGGCATCCCCGGGGGCCAACGACTCTTGGCGCAAAGTCCCCCAGGAGACAACCCGCAGGAGTGGGTGGGACACGAGGTTCCCCTTTCCCCTGCTGGGCTGCTGCCCCCCCCGGACCATGGGGCTTGTGGGAGCCGCCCGCCCCTCTCCGCTCTGATAGAAGCGCCCCTGGGGCCCTGCCTGGGCCAGTGTGAGGCCACAGCGGCATCATGGCAGGCCACACTGGGCACCTGGCGGCTCTGGTCCTCCTGGGCGTGGCCCTATGTGGTGAGTGGACCTGGGATGGCGGGGATAGCCGGGGGGGGGCCACCTGCCTGCAGGGTGGTCAGCCAGGGGTCCCCCTCCGCCAAACAGGACTGTCCCCCAGCCCCACTCGGTGGGCAGGAGGAGCGGCAGGGTCCATGAGAGCAGAAGGCTCTGAAAGTCAAGAAAGTCTCAGAACCCTGACGCATGAGCATCTTGCACTCCCCCCCCCCACAGCAAGGGTCTGAGGGTCTATGGTGGGAAACGGGGGTCCCGGGTGAAACCACGGCGGGAGGGTTGGGTTTGGTCACGCCACTCTTCTCCTGTTTAACTTGAAGCCCTTAGGGCGGTGTGTAAGGAGGGAATTGGCTCCAGACCCCACCACGCCCTATTGCCTCTGTCTCCTCTGGCACTCCTCCCTGGCCCCCAGTTTTGAGACTGGGCGGGGGATCCCAGGTATGGAATTTCAGGTCTGAGGGGCTGGGGAGGCCTGGGTGGGGAGGGGGCATCCGAGGGCTGGGCTGCAGTCCTCCATTCCCCCACCCTCCCAACTAGAAACAGGGCTGTGTATACAGCAGGTGCTGACTAAGTGCTCAAAAGTAACTTGAACATGACCGGGTGGGGAGGTGGGCAGGGCTGGTCGACGTGTGTCTGACCAGGGGAGGGATGGGGAGGGGACATCGAGCGCCTGCCGTGTGCCCGGTCGTCCTCGCTGGAGAGATGTGGGGGGTCGTGCCCATGGCCACACAAGGCGGGGACTCCAGCCCGGGCCCGGCTCCCGGCGCCCCCGGCGCCCCCTCCCTCCTGTTCCCACAGAGGATCCGTTGGTTCCCTTCCGTGACCCTCGCTTCCAGCCGGGGGGACGTTGCTTCTTGCGACACCCAGTTCTTCCAGGCAGAAGCTCCCAGACGTGGGCGGAGACCCACGGTCCGGCCTCCAGGCCCGGGCATCCTTTCTCCAGCACGTCCCCCCGACCCGGGCGGGAAGGGGTCCAGGGAGGCTGGTGGGGGGAGCCGATTGGGAGGGGTCCTTTCCCGGAACCTCCGCTGGGGACCCGAGACTGACTGGGCCCCGGGGGGGGCAGTGAGCTCCCCGTCGCGAGCAGCAACCAAAGAGAGGCTGGACGGCCGGACCCCGAGAGGGAGAGGCCGTGGTGGGGAGCAGGGGCCACGTCCAGCTGTGAACTGTGGGGCCTGGGCTCAGACCCCTCTGCCCCTGCGTCACCCACCCACGGGCCCACCATGCCTCCATTTCCCCATCTCAGAGGGCCCAGCAGCCCCCGCCACCCCTGTGGAACGCCATCGTTGTGGTTATGAGGGTGCCCCGGGGAAACCGAGGCAGGGGGGCCCAGCCGACGTCCCTGGGGCACTGACCCTGCAGATAAGCGTACCCCGCCTGGTATTTCGGACGGACTTGCACTAAAACCGGCGAATCCCACGTTCAGACGGAATGGCGCGTCCGAGATTGATCCGGACCCCCGGCCCCGGCTCACCTCCTCCCATGCTTCCTGCTGTCACCCCCTCGTCTCCATGTCCCCGGGGGGGGACAGGAAGTGGGGCAACGGCAACGGCCTCGGCGTGGAGGCCATAAGAGGGGCCGGCGGGCACGGGGGCCAGAGACCCAGAACCTCACCCAACCATGACTGGCAGCCGCACACCCTCCGGCCCTGTCCTCGCCCCCATCCTGCTGGCCGTGCTGCTGGGCGGTGAGTGGGGCCACGTGTCCGTCTGTCTGTCCCTGGACGTCTCTTCCTGCCTCTCATGGGCCCCTCGTCCTTGTGGGGAGGTGACGGCTGGGATGAGGTGACCTGTTTCCAGAGGAAGAGACTGAGGTTCTGAGTGGCGGGAGTCCAGAGCTGGGGTTTGAACCGGGGGGGTCCCTGGGCGCCCTCTGGGGACTCCAAAGCCACGTTAAGCCCCAATCTAGCCGCACCCCGGCTGGGGGACCATGGCAGCCCCCTCTCTGCGTCTCTGTGCCTCAGTTTCCCCATCTGGGCAGTGAGCACGAAGAGCCTGGACCCCTTGGGGTCCTGGTGTGAGCCGGGTGGCTGACTGGCCCTGCCCCGCCGTGTGCCCCAGGCCCTGCACTGGCCTCGGAGATCGTGGGTGGCCAGCCAGCCCAGCCCCACGCGTGGCCCTTCATGGTGTCCCTGCAGCGGGGAAGCCACTTCTGCGGGGCCACCCTGATCGCCCGCGACTTCGTCCTGTCAGCCGCGCACTGCGTGAATGGCCGGTGAGTCCCCCGCACCCGCCCCGGCCCTCAGTGTCCCCGTCTGTCCTCGCTCCTCGAGGGGCGGGCTGACCCCCGAGCCCGGGGCCGCCCGAGTCACCCCCTGTCCCCCCGTTGCCGGCAGCAACTTCCGGTCGGTGCAGGTGGTGCTGGGGGCCCACAACCTGCGGCGGCGCGAGCGCACCCGCCAGACATTCGGCGTCCGGAGGATCTTCGAGAACGGCTTCGACCCCACGACGCTGCAGAACGACATCGTGGTTCTCCAGGTGGGGGCCAGGGGCCGGGGGGTGGACGGGGGGACCCCAGCTGTCACAGGCACGTCGTCTCTCTGTGCCTCGGTCTCCCCTCTGTCACTCGGGGAGACAAACCCCGCCTGGCCGGGCCTCGGAGAGATTGCGAGAGACGACATCGGGAGCTCTGAGCAATAGTCAATCAACAAACGCCGTTATTCGTGCCCTGTCACAAGTCCCACATTCGGGCCAGCGGGAGACTCAAGGCAGAAACCCTCCCATCCCACTCTTCTGATTCTGAGAATGTTCTAGAGCGAGGGTTTTATCGGCCTTGGTGTTGCCCATGGTTTGTTTTATTGAGCACCTACTGTTTATAGCACCATTATTAAGCACCTCCTCTTTACAGCACTCAAGTCATGTCCGGGGCGCCCCGGGCCACTGTGGTTGCTGCCAATTACAGACAGGGAAACTGAGGCCGGGGAGGGGAGGGCCGTCGCCCGCGCCCCGTGTGACACTCACGTGCTCTGTCCCAGCTCGACGGGTTGGCCACCATCAATGCCAACGTGCAGGTGGCCCGGCTGCCCGCCCAGGGGCGCAGCCCCAGGAACGGGACGCAGTGCCTGGCCATGGGCTGGGGCCGGCTGGGCACCAATGGGCGGCTGCCCAGTGTCCTGCAGCAGCTCAACGTGACGGTGGTGACCTCCCTGTGCAAACGCTCCAACGTGTGCACGCTGGTGCCGCGGCGCCGGGCCGGCATCTGCTTCGTGAGTGCCCCCCGTGTCCCCCACCCCGAGCCCCGCCCGGCCCCAGCAACCCGGCCAGCGGCCGGACCCCGGGACGGACTGCCCGACCCCGAGC